CTTCAACCCGAGCCACTTCACAACGCACTCCCTGTGAAACACGTGCTGCGCATCGAACCAACCTCGCGACCCTCCTCTCCCTCGGCGGCGGCGGCGGCGGCGGCTCGAACTCCTCCCAGCACACCGCACACCTCCCCTCGTCGCCGCAGCCCGCGGCCTCGACATCCTCCAACGCCGACCCCATCCTCTCGCCGACACCGCGGCCTCGTACGTCGTCTCGACCTCCGTCACCATCTCGACCCTCACCGCACCTGCATCGTCCCTTCGCCGTCTCCCCTCAGCCTCTCCGGTGTTTTGTACCCGGCTATCGACTTCCCAGCGCGCAGCGTTGCTCCGTGGTGAGTTCGGGAGGCGCGCAGAAGAGGGCGGTGAGGTCGCGGGTGGGAGGAGCGGTACCGTGGGCGATGAGGGGCGGCGTCAGAGTGATGGAGCCGGCGGGGGAGCGTCGACGACGTGGAGGTTCGGGTGAAGTCGAGGGTGAATTTGTCGTCGGGGAAGGGCGGCTGGAGGTGGAGGGAGTGAGGAGAGGTGTGGGTTAAGTGGTCGCCGGTGCGGGTCGCGGCGGCCGGGGAAGATCTTGACATTGTTATTGCTGTTGTTGTTGAGGGGAGGGATGGAGGTGGTGGTGTTTTTCTTTCTTTTCTTTCTTTTTTTTTTGGGTTGGGTTTATATAGGGGATTTTGAGGTTGTCAAATCCTAGTCCACGTAGAATTCATGACACGTTAGGAATTTTATGTTTGGCTAAATATCAGAAAACCACCTTATAACCTGTGTGTTGTTGTACAGGTAACCAATAAGTTTCAGTCAGACAGCAGAAACCCCATTAGGTTAAGGGTTATCAAGAAATCCTTTAACTTTAAGATTTTATTAGAAAAAAACCTTTTTACATCGTTAAACGCAATTTTCACATGAGTAAGTAAAGGACATTGGGTAATATATATTTTAGTGAGAATTGCCCGTCATGCTTTCGGAGGGGTTTCTGATAAAATCTTAAAGTGAATGAAGTTTTCTCATGATCATACATTTAAGGGGGGTTATCTTGATAATCTTTCAAAGTTGAGGAGGTTTTCTGATATTGGAGTTATTGTTAGGGTCAAGGTTGCGAAGTTTGCTACATTGGCTGTAAGTAGAAACACATCAGAAATAGGATTTGGGACAAAAGTCAAATTTTTTTTTTTTTTGAAGTTTCCTGGTTGGTATAAAACAAAGCAAAATTTTAACTATCAAATATCTTGCAAGTATATAATTTTTTTGAGAGAAATCCTCAATGGGATGCTTAAAATTGCACAAATTAAGATTTGTACCTCCTTGACACAGAAGTTCAATTCAGACTATAATCACCGTTAACGAACTCATGATTATTATTTAAATCGATATTTGCTATAAAAATGTAATGAGCTACAAAGTGGGCAACGTCACTGATCTTAATTAATCTTTTAAGAGCTCTGAACTCCCACAAATACCCCCCTCCTTCTTCTTTCTTCTTTAAGCCCAAAGCGATGGCCAAGGGAATTCTGTGGGCACGGCAGAGACTTGGCGCGAAACCGGCGAAGATCCTCCCTCTTACCGTCAATCTGATCTCTTCTGGGGGGGAGTTCTTGCCCTCTGTGTAGGTCTGAGATTTGATTACTAGTTGTAAATGTAATGGTTTTAATTCTTAGATTGATAGATTTGTTGGTAATTTTGACTGATAGGTTAATCACTTTTAAGACGAAGCAATAGAAATCTGATTACCAATTGCGGTGATTTAAAGCAAAATTTTGTGATGAACAGAGATCAATCACAACAAAAAAGAAGGCAAAGCATGAATATCACAGTAAATATAAAAGATTTATCGGGGTAATTCTCACAAAGCCAAGTACTCTGAAGTCCTATATAATTTTATTTTGTTTAGGAAACTCCAAATAATTTTATTTTGTTTTCCAACTAATCCTCACGTACGGCGGCTTTACGTAAGGCAATAACAATTTAGAGTTATGAAATAAGAAATCACAACAACAACAACAAAAAAAAAAACAAATTTAAGGTGTTTGGAGCTCAGACATGTTATCAAACACCAACATAGAGGAGAAAAATAAAATAAAATAAAATGATTATAGGGTGAAAATTAAAAAGAGGACGTAACAAGTTTTTTCAAGAGTTATTTGGTTCTTTGAAAACACCTGATTTGTGTCAAGGAAAAAATAAAATAAAAAGTATAGTAGACAGAAGACAGAATTTCAAGTAGTGAAATATTTTTCTTTTGGAAATAGTTGTCTCGCTTGTTAATCTACAACAATTCTATACAAAATGGTTTTGTAAGATTGCAGATTTTTTAAAGAGAATTTTTTCAAAAATAAGTAAAGTGAAAGTGCCCCGGAACCTAGAATTATTATAAGGAGCAAAAACCATGTGTCGGGCAAAACCATAAAAGGATCTCTTCCAAAAAGCAGCCATAAAAGAATTCTTCCAAAAAGCAATCATGAAGGGGCATAAGATCTATAAAGACCAATTTGATTTAAAATACAATTCAAATTCAAATAGTTTCTTTCCAAATGTGGATGCCTTTTCAAATGCCTTATGAGGGTTTATTGGGGGTATATATTGTGAAGAGTGGGACTACAGTCACACACCCTCTCTTAGCTACAGTACACGGGGTCCACTTTGGATTTTTTTAAAAAAAATCTAAAGTGGGTCTCGTGTACTGTAGCTGAGAGCTAGAGGGGGTGTGCCACAAGCTGTGGTTGGGGGTGTGCCCGTAGTGTTTTCCTATTGTGAACTTTTTGTGTTTCAATTGATTGCTCAAACCCCCTGTATTTAACTTCTATTTTGCCCTCCCATCACAAAAGATCGACCAAAAAATAAAATAAATAAATAAATAAATCCTACATCTCTCAAAGAGAGCAATGTCATCTTCCAACTCCGCGATCACATGTAACTTCTTTAATCAGCCGTTGTTCCAACAAGAGGAGGAGGAAGAAGTGACTATTGATTCAAAGATAGAAGAAGAAGAGAATCAGGAGGACGTAATTAATGGTTCAGAGACTAAAGAAGATGAGATCAATTTTGATGATAACGACGACGACGATGAGCCCCTGAAGGACCCTCCATTTGATGTTGAATAAGATTGCATTGTCATTGAAATGGATTAATGGTTCAGAGCCCCTGAATGTTGTTTGTTTCATCAATATTTTGGGATATGTAATCCTATAATTTGTATTTTGTTTGTTTCAGATTCAAATTGTAACATTACAAATTTTAGAATTTGAAATATAGTCTAAATCCTCTCTCAAAGAGGGGATTTCACAAATGCTATAATATATTAGTTTTTTATTATTTGGGTATTCAATATCCCAAAATTTATTTTGAATCAAACAAAGGTTATGAAATCCATAAACTCAAAAAAAACTCACTTTTTCATCTTAGAATTTGTAATCCATCCTATATCCAAAAAAAAAAAATTACACCCCTTAAAGCATGGAGGAATATTGCTAGCAACAGCAAGATTTTATTACAAATGGAAAACTCCTCAGGGACCCCTGAGGGGACAGGTGAGGTGTCAGCCCCCCCCAGGGACTGACACCTCACCTGTCTCCTCAGGGGTCTCTTATTTGGGGTGCCTGTAGCACAACTCATTACAAATATAGCTATAACAATTAATAATGCCACTACCTCCACCACACGTGCAGATCTTCCATCCACACGCAATGTTTCTAATTTGAAGAGGTACAAAAGTCATGCAGGCGTACCATACAAATGGGCCTTTTCAGTATTAGTCCAATTAAAAGTACAGGTGGCAATTAAATTAGATTAAATCTAAAGCACTCGTGCGAGCTGAGAAATCTAGCAACAATTCAATGAAATTGGGGACTATCTTCAGAATAGCTTAATAAGAGACAGGTGCCTAGTTACCATTTTAATGATTGAAGGGGATAATTCAAGATGTTAAAGATTTAAGGTACCGTTTGGCAAAGGGTTAAGTGAGGGGTTAAGGAGACTTAACCCCTTCTTAACCTGCCAAACACAATAAATCTATATAAGGGTTAAAGTGAGTTAATCCTTCATAATTTGCCAAACATAAAAAATATAGAAGGGTTAAGTTAACCCTTCTAGAGGGGTTAAAATGAGTTAACCCCTCAAAATAAGGGGTTTACTAATACTCCTATTTAGATGGAATAAGAGTTAACCCTTCTAATTATAAAGAAAATA